CAAAAAAAAAACCTTGACCTAAATTTCATAGCTTATATAAAAATTAACTCAAAATGGGTCAAAACATAGACTGGAGCCCTGGCTGGTGTGGCTCAGTGGATTGAGTGCCCGCCTGTGAACCAAAAGGTCACCAGTTTGATTCCTGGTAAGGCACATGCAGGTTGCAGGCTAGGTCTTTAGTTGGGGGGTGTGTGAGAGGCAACTGGTAGATGTATCTCTTGCACACTGATGTTTCTCTCACTCTATTTCCCCCTCCCTTCCCTGTCTCTAAAAGTAAATAAATAAAATCTTAAAAAAAAAAAAACTCCACAGACTAGAAAACTTTTAGAAGAAAATCATAAGAGAATACTTTTGGAATCTTCAGTTAGACAAAGATTTCTTATACTTAACAACAAAAGCACAATCCATGGGAGGGAAAATTGAAATAAAAAAGCTTTTATAAAATTAAAAACTTTTGTTCTGCAAAGGATTCTATTAAGATGAGAAAACCACAAAGAAAACATTTGCAAATCACCTATCAAAGAAGGACTGGTATTTAGAATATATTTTTAAAAATATAACCAACAATTTTTAAAAAATCCATTTGGAAAAAGGGCAAAGACATTTCACTGAAGAGCATATGCAGATGGCAAATAAACTCATGAAAAGATGTTTAACATCATTAGCTATTACAGAAATACAACCTAAACCACAATAAATCACTACATACCTATCAAAATGTCTAAATAAAAAATAGGAACTCCAAATGCTGGTGAAGATGTGGAGAGCCTGATCTCTCATCCATTGCTGGTGAGAATGGAAAATGTGCAAAATGCTGGGAAACAGTTTAGTAGTTTCTTAAAAAAATCTTTATCCAGCTACTACATGACTGAGTAACTGTACTGCTGGGAATGTATCCTAAAGAACTGAAGACCTATATTTTCATTATGTTATATTACATTATAGACACTGTGCATGTGTCTATACCAGTTGCATTCATAATAGCCCAACAACCTAAATGCCCTTCAAACAAAGCATGGTATATCCATACCATGGACTACTACTCAGCAATTTAAAAGGAACAAACTAACGATTTCATGCAACAACTTGGATGAAGCTTCAGAGAAGATTGCTGAGAGAAAAAAATCCAATCCCCAAATGTTAAGTACTGTGTGATTCTGTTATATCACAGTCATGAAATGACAAAAGTACACAAATGAAGAACAAGTTAGTAGTTGTTGGAGGTTAAGGAGGAGGTGGGATGGAAATGAAGTGTGAATGGGTATAAAAAGGATCCTTATGGTGATGGAAAGTTCTCTATTTTCACAATATTGATGTTAATGTCCTACTTGTAGTACTATATTGTACTATGGTTTTGCAAATGTTATTATTGAAGAAAATTAAATAAAGGGTACAGGGATCTTTACTGCATGTAAATCTACCATGATCTCAACATGAAAAGCTTAATTAGAAAATAAATAAAGGTAGCCTTATTTCTGTATTGCAAAATAAGTGCAGCAATTGATAAGAAATTCAACACCAATTAAATGAAGTGCTCTCTTCAGCCCAAGTTTAATTCTGAAAATTACTATTGTTATGGTAGGTAGTTAGTTAGTTATTAATAAAGGAAGGAAGCAAAGGCAATCAGACATTAATAACCATAATCAATGAGGGAGTATAAGTCTGTTTGCTTCACCGGGAAGCTATAGCATTTACAGACTCATTCACACTCCAGCAAATAGTCATCAAGATGGAGCTCACAGTAAATCTCCCCAGGAGGAGCACTGCTATAACTGATTGGGGGTGGTAGTGCATCAGGGTGAGATAAGCACATTGGCAATAGGGAAGGTACCTGACCACAGAAGCCTGCCAATCTAACCTGGAAAAGGGATCAATTGACTAGGGGATGGGACCATCAGAAGCTCAGGAAAACTTAGGAAGTTAATTGGTTAGTTTTAAAAAGTACCTGGTCAGTCCCAAGCCTGAGATAATATAACCCAGCTTAATAAGGACACATTCTGTCTCTCTCACCTGGGAACATACACCAGTCCCATGAGTTTGCACATGTGAGTCCAACAGCTGCTTGAGCAGGCAGCCTTGAGACCTCCAAATGCAAACTCCATGAAAGAGCCTAGGTGTCACAGGTAACCAGGTTCTTGGTGATCAAGACAAAGAATCGAACCGAACACCCAGAGTTTACAGCAGAGAACATGGGAGCAGGTCAACTCCAAGCAGAGATTGACCTCACAGGATAGAGGGACTCTATTCTTATAGGACAAATCCTTCCTGGTTAGTTTTGGCAGGCTTTTACTGTGCATCTACAAGTAGTTGTATTACTTTAAAGCTACTGTGCATGTGGTCTCCCATGATTTTCCCAGATTAGCCACCAGGGAAAGGGGTCCCATAATGTTACCAAATGGACCCCCATTCTCCTGGGGTCCCCCTGTACTAGGTTTGCCTTGCCCATCGCCAGAATTATACCTCCATATTAGAGATTGGTGAATAAGAAAGGAATTATTTATTCAGGTTATACAGACTTAAGAGTAATGAATTAGTATTTTCATCAAAAGCCCAAAGTTCCTTAAAACACCCACAAACACACACAGTCCTTTCTTCCCCCCTTTGCCCGGTATGGGGTACCATATCTCAGGAAATAGAAGTCCATGGCTCAGGCAGTGCCCAGTTCTTCCCAGTTATTCGTGCTTAGCTGGCAGGCCTCCCTTGGTTCCCAGCACCATCAACTGTGTTGTCGGGATCTCCAGTTCTTATTCCAAAACCACATGGCACCTTCTCATGGCCCACCAGCAAGAGCCCTTTCACCCCTTTCCTTCCTACAGTGTCTTCCATGCATTCTTCCGAACTGCTAAGAGAGAACTCTGCATGGTTGCTACATCTTGCTTTCCGGCTTCCTAAGCTGCATGGCAAAAGGAGAATCCCAAAGCCATGTGATTTTCCCCTGCCAAAGCTATGTGGTGATTCTTTGCCAAAGTCTGTGTGACTCTTGTCATGGCTGCCACTCCTGGGTTTAAATCCTGGCACTAATCTTCCTCTGCAGCCCCATTTCCGCCTCCTCCCACAATCGGCTACACTTGCCAGCATTCCAGTATTTTCCAGCTTTTCTGGGCTGCCACACAATTCTGGGCAGGCGTGGTCCCATGATGTGGAGTCAATCATCCCCAAGCTCTCAGGCAGGCTCTGTAACCAGGGGGAGTTGCCTCCCAGTTACATCTTGGGTGGAAGTCACTCCCTTCTCCCTGGCTCAAAGCATGGCCACAGCTATTTAATATATCTATGAAACCAGTTAAAGGTTATAGATATGTTAAATGAATGTTCTAGAAATTATCTGCAAAACTGTTGCTATGCAAAATAACTCAATGGCCCTGCTCCATGTATCCCATCCCCCAGCTCAGACCTGTGGGGGTGCGGACATCCCATATTTTTAATATTTCCAGGACCCTCTGAGTTCTGGACCCCATTACAAATTCTTCTTTTGGGGACCCCCTGGCTGCACTCTCTTACATAGGTACAGCAGTGCAGCCCTGAATAGCACTCAACTACCTAGACAGGGACTGAGATGGCTTAGCAGCTGCCTGTGAGCTCCAAAGGAGTAAGCTGTAATATGAAACAGAAACTCTGGGCACTGGCCTTTGTTTTGGTCTTGCTGAAGAAACAGTTGGACTTTTTCCATGGTGAAACTGATGGAGATGGCGCACAGGGGATGTATTTTATTTTATTTTTTAAATTCTCACCAGAGGTTCCATTGCTTTTTAAAGAAAGAGGAAGGGAGAGAGGGTAACATCCATGCAAGAGAAAAACATCAATCCGTTGCCTTCCAAATCCACTCATATGGGGATTGCATGTGCCCAGGCCATGGATTGCACTCACAACCCCAACATGTGCCCTTACTGGAAAGGAATCTTCAATCTTTCAGTTAGGGGGAGATGCTCCAACCAACTGAGCCACATGGGTCAGAGCCAGGGGCAGTCTTCTATTTCCATCTAAATAAATATTGCCACACCACAATCTCCAATGCGTGGGTTCATGAAATGCTTTCCTCCCAGCCCTCTCAAGCTACAATCTGAAATCTGTTTCTACAGAAGAAATTCAGGAGATTGCTTAGATCAGTTCTCAAACTTTTTGGTCTCAGGTCCCCAAAGAGGTTTTGATTGCATGGATTACAATCACTGATTTTATAGTATAAGAAATTAAAACAAAATATTTAAAAGACAAGTATTCTCAGAGACACATTCCATCGGCCCCACGGTGAGGTCATTCCACATCCTGTAGCTTCTGAGAAATTCAACGTATACTCAAAAGAAAATGAATGTGAAAAAGGTAAATAACAGAATTGTGACCGCATTTTCAGAAAGGCTGGCTTACTATTAAATGATATATAAAACTGACTTGAAAGGTATAAACCACCGAACAAATCAGTCACACGTGCTATTTTAATGCACGAGGGTGCAAAGGCAAAAGAAAAAGTTGGGGGGTGCGGGGCTAGGAAAAGGAGGCGGAGGACGTCTTGGACTAGCGCACAGTCGGGTTACACCAAGCAGTGAACAAACCGGCGGGACCTCAGCGAGCAGAGTCAGGTAAAGGTACACAACTGTAAAAGATCACTACAGTTTAGTAATTGTCTCTGTGCGTCCAGAACCGTTATAAAAACGAAGAACCCACGATCAGTTTCAGATTCAACTTTTGGCCAAGAGGGGAAGCCACGCAAGCCGCTCCCGCCCGGCGCTATGAGCTGCCGGGCACTCTGAGCGCCAGGTGCGGGCCGCCTGCCAAAGCCCCGCGGACAACAGGAGAGAGTTTTCGCATCCTTTTGTCAGACCCGACGGCCGCGAAGCCCGAGAAGACCGTGGAAGGCAGGTCCCCACCAACTCCGCCGCCGGGGCCGGACGCAGCCGGGAGCAGCTGCCCGCCCAAGCTCCAGCGGGAGGAAATTACGTTAGGACCCCGGGAACGCCGAGGCGGAGGTCCTGGGAGTCAGGCCCTGGGAAAGGGTCGCCCAAACTCACCAGGTGCCGCGCCTCCTCAGACGTCATGGTTCCGGGTGGTAGCTGAGGGAAGCAGGCTGAGGGCCGGCAGAACAGCGGTCTCGGCCAAGCCCAGACTAGCACGTCCTAACGGAGGGAGCCAGGAGGGGGCCAGCGAGGGCTGAACAAGCCAGTCGCTCGGGACGCGGGCCGTAGGCGGTGCTACGAGAAGGGCGGGCCTCCACCGACTGGTGAAGGGGCGGAGCCAAGCTGGAGGTGGTTGCGAGTTAGGCTCTCACTGGAGCATCCTTTGTTTCTTGAGACTTGCAAGGAAAAGGTAACTGGAGGACACTGGGAACGTGAGGGACAGGACGCGCAGAAATGCAGCCGGGAACCCTTCAACCAGCTTAAGGAGACCGAGAGAGCAGCTAGTACCGCCAGTAAGAGAGCCGGAAGTGGGCGGTGCCTGGGGGCTGGTCTTCGCGGGAGGCTGGCTGGAGCAGAGATTGCGGTCAGCGCGGGACCGGAAAGGAGTGGGGCGGGGCGGGCGGAGGCGTGTTTGCGCTGGGCGCGGCGGGGCGAGCTGTTGCCGGGGTCTGCCGCGGCAGACTAGAAATTTGGAGCCTGAGGAACCCGCAGCTGGGAACCGGCGGCGATGGGGCCGGCTGCCTGGCAGCCGGCAGTACCCATCGCCAGGTTGAACCGCCTGCCTGCCAGCCACTGAGCGAGCCGCGAGACCACGGATGGAGGGCCGGGCAAAGCTCGGCCCCGAGGCGGTGCTGCACTTCCTCGAGGAGCGCGGGGGCCGAGTCCGGCGCTCAGAGCTGGTGCAGCACTTCTCCGGCACCCTGGGCAAGGAGCCGGAGCAGCGCGCCCGCTTCAAGGAGCTGGTGAACGCGGTGGCCACCGTGCGCACAGACCCCGCCGATGGCTCTAAGTATGTGCACCTCAAGAGGAGGTTCTACGGAGGGCCACCGTCGCCCAAGGCCGCGCCCCCTCTGGACCTGCCCCACATCTCGGTGACCGCAGAGGCCGAGCCCCAAGGCGGCGCCCCCGAGAGGCCCGACGGCCGGGCAGAGGACCTTGAGAGTGGCCTGTGCCTCAAGGCGGCGGCGCAGTTGGCGCTCGGAGGTCCTGTCTGTGAGCCCCGTGGAGGGGAGCCTTCTGCTGCCATTCCTGGGCGGACCAGTGTGGTGGACGACAGCCGGAGTTGGCCGCCCATGAATGGCGGGGCCCGCAAGGGAAATGCGCGGCGCGACGCGCAGCCTCCGGCTGGGGCACCGGCCCCAGCGACCAGCGAGGACCTGAAACCCAAGTCCCACGGCTGCGAGGAGGCGGAAGGGGAAAGCTCTCCCGGGGGGACCACCACCCCGAGGTCTACTCGCCAAAACCTCCGGGATCTCGTGATGGGCAGCTCCCCGCAGCTGAAGAGGAGCATCTGTACTGGAGGCAGCAGCCCCGGGGGCTTCTTTGGGGTAGGACGCGGCAGAGGCGGGGCTGACTCGGACAGCGCATCTGTTGCTTCGTCGGCGGAGGAGGAGAGCAGCAGCGGAGGCTCCGTGACGCTGGACCCTTTGGAACACGCCTGGATGCTCTCAGCCTCGGACGGCAAGTGGGACAGCCTAGAAACGTTGCTCACTTGTGAGCCCGGCCTGCTGGCTAAGCGAGACTTCATCACTGGCTTCACCTGCTTGCACTGGGCTGCCAAGCACGGCCGGCAGGAGCTGCTGGCCATGCTAGTTAACTTTGCCAACAAATATCAGCTGCCAGTAAACATCAACGCCAGGACAAGTGGAGGCTACACAGCCCTTCACTTGGCAGCCATGCATGGGCACGTGGAGGTGGTGAAGTTGCTAGTGGGAGCCTATGACGCAGATGTGGACGTCAGGGACTACAGTGGGAAAAAGGCCTCGCAGTACCTGAGTCAGAGCATCGCCGAAGAAATAAAGAACCTGGTAGGAGACCTAGACGAGGACGACGGGGACAGCGCAGCGGGCAGCGGGGTAGGGCGCTGGAGGTTTTCAAAGGTACTACCTTCGCACCTCATCTCCCACAAATTTTCGCATGTCCTGGAGGATGGAGGGGATCATCACCACCACCACCATCATCACCTGGCTGAGGGATGGACTGGAAGCAAAGTAAAGGACCCAGGTCGCAAAGCTTCAGGCAGCTCTAGTGGGCGAATAAAACCCAGACTCAACAAAATCCATTTCCGAACCCAGATCATACACACCACACCCTCTTTCAGAGACCCAGAGCAGCCTCTGGAGGAAGGGGAGCAGGAAGAAGAGGATCGGTCTCTTAAAGTCCACTTATCCTCATTCAAACTGAGACCAAAGTCCAATGTATTCGGGTAAAAATATTTTTTTTAGAAAATTCTAAGTTGTATTTGTCTTGCGAAATAGAATACTGGGTGTAAGCAAGTAAGTGACACTGGAAAAGACCTAGGCTAAATATGCATTCCTACTTGGTGGGTTGGAATGGGTCAGGGACATTTCCCCGTAGTATTCTGGGTGAGGTGGTTTTACCAAGTGATTCATCAAACCTTCACCTAAGCCTCTTTTCCTTATGCCAGCCCTCTACCTTGGAGTCCCTGTTTGCGAGGACTAGAAATGGGTCTAAAATTGGGGGTACAGAATTGATGACTGAGGGTTTCTTTGATTTACCCATTATTGGATGCCATGCAAAGTAAGGAATATTGCACTTTTATGTATATGTTTTTGAAAGTAGTTACTATTCCAAAAACAAGAAATGCAAATTGTAGTGAAACTTAGTATTTGTTAAGTGTGAACAAAACTACATACTCCCTGTAGTTTTTACTAATTGCATTTGATTTTTAAGATGCTACAGAGGGTAAGGTAGAGTTGGAATGCAAAAATACTAATTAGAGAATAATATGAGTAAAAATGGGAACTCCATTAGTATCCTATTTGTACTATAAGTAGTGTCCAACTATTTTTTAAAAAGCAATTTCAGGTTTGACCACTGAACTGAAAAAATAGACAACATTCACTTTTGAGTTAATCTATAGTATGCTTTCCTCTTAAATATCTCATACCACTGCACTCAGTATTAAGGTACATTATTAATAACCATACAAATTTTTATATAAAGAAAACATCTTTAACAATCTATGGTATTTTTAAGTAAAATACTGCCTTTGGTTCTGATTCTTATTAACTTGTTTTGCTATTCTAAAAATCTAAATTTGCTGAAGTTTTTATTCTGGAATTATGTAACTATTGGTTCTGTTTGACATGATCCTACTTGTTGGTGCTTAGAGTTGAACTGCATATAGGAACTTTTCTGGTTTGGATGATTAGTGAAAATTGGCATAAATGTTAGTGAATCTGTACTTCTGTGAAGTAATCATTAAATCAACGTAATGACTCACTTGAGGTACATTTTGTTTTACTAATAAAACTCATAGTCTTTATGCTTTGTAGCAGTATTTTGCAAATGTTTAAAATACTAAATTCTTCCAATTTTTCATTGCTTCCTGGAATCTTATAGATCAGGTGTCAAACTGATTTTCACTGGGGACCACATCAGCCTCGCAGTTGCCTTCAAACTGCCAAATGTAATTTCAACTCCTTAACAGTTAAGGAGTAGTTACATTTATACAGTCCTAAAATTATTTCTGCCCTTTGAAGACAACTGTGAGGCTGATGTGGCCCCCAATGAAAATGAGTTTGATGTCCCTGTTATAGATGTACAGTGAAGTTATTGAAAAGCTGGATAGTAAATCTACCCAGTTAAAAATAGCACTTTATAAAAGAGAAAGAGATGGTACTATATCTGTATTTAAATACCACTGGCTGTTGAATTAAATGACAAATACTGTTCATTAAAATTAAAGATTTACATGTGATTCTTAATTACATTCCATTCAAATATATTAGTGTGAATGTTTTATAATTATTGTAAAATTTAAGTCACCGGCATATTAAATCTATTTGTAACAACAATATTTGAAACAACTTTTGTGGGAAACTAATTTCAACAAGTTCTTCTCCCTTAGTCTTTTTGATTTTATAATTAATGAAACAAGTACCTGCAGCCTTTAGAAATTAAGGGGTAACTTAGTTTCAGGAGTGAATGAGCTAATGTATGACTTGCACACAATTGCAATCAATCTTTATAGAGGACTTGGATTTTTAATTTCCTAAGTCATAGAAGTTTGTCACACCTCTCTAGATTGAATTTGTTTAAAAATTAATGAAAAAACTTTACATAAAATATATAAACTATTAACTTATATGCCTTTATTTTTGTTTTAGGATTATGGAAATGGGCCATATGTATTTGAGAAGCGGGGTGAAAAACAATCCAATTTTGTGTAAATTAAAAATAGGTTCCTTGAAGGTGAAAGCAAACTTTTGTTCTGAATTGTATGCACGTTATCTGTATCTAGCGCAGAATAAGCTATAACTTCACATTGAGGAATCTTACCTTTCGTTGACATGTAAAGCTAAAACGAACTATAAAGAGTAGACACTTCTGAACTATTTAAACATTCTATTAAACAGTCCGTATGAATCTCTTAAATGTGTATGTTATTAATTGTACAAAATCTCTGATTTGCTAGATCTTTAGAAATGCAGGCAATACTTCATTTAACTTGCTCTTCACACTAAAGATTTTAATTCCTCTGATAAAATTTGAATTTTCAAAAATCATTACTTATAGCATTTCCTTATCATGATGTGCTTATATAGTGTTTTCTTACTGCTGCATCCTTTTATTTTTCAACTTCCAAATTATTATAAAGAGCAAATGATTTGTGTAATTTGATATTTGTAGAGTTGTATTTACCATTAATGGAAATTGTGTCAGTTACTTAGATGTTTGCTGATATGAAACAGCGGTTAGAAACTCAAAGAATGTCCATGTGTTTCTATAGGTACATTTGAAACTGATGAATGTATGTCACAATTTTATGCACATTTATGGTATATAAAATGCAGCTATCTTACATAACTTGAAAATCTGAGACTTTTATTCATGCCTGAAATCCTGGAGTCCAGGATGCGTTGTCTCTTATTTTTTAAATAAGTAAAAGTTTGGTTAGAGTGTAAGGTTTGTAGTTTGTTTTGTCAAAATAAATTGTTCACACGAGTTTTTTTTCTCTTAGTTGTCTGAATCTCTCTAGTCCTTTATTATGTTCTGTGGTTCATACAATACTTTTTGAAGTTTCAGTTTATTTGATCTCCTATCCCTTAAAGTTACTTGCTGTATATTCCTAATTTACAGATAAGGAAATGAAGGTTGATGGTTGTTCAGGGTCATGAAGTAAATGGGAGTTAGTAAGATCCTAAAATTGAGTGTATTTTCACATTATCTTTTCTATACTTCCAATGGCCGAATTTTGACAGAACTACTGTACTTTGTCGCTAGTGATCGACGAATCAACTTATCGAGAAGGTAGCGCCTCCACCACTACCTTAAAAAATATGTATATGGCTCCTGCATGTACCATCTACCTATCATGAATCCTCCCTACCCAGATTGAATCTTCAGAAAGGTTTGGGGAATGCCTTTTTCTGTTTAGTATCCATTAAGTATTGGACATTAATGAACTCATTTCCTCATCAAGACTGCCTTTAATCTTTATTTTAACAAAATTGTACCTCTATCATATGGCAGAGAAAGGTGGGACTTGATGTAATATTCCTCCATTGTTTTCTCTTGGGAAAATCCTATTATGACTGCTGGGTTATTTTGTTGTTGTTATTGATTTATGGCAATTTATAAAACATTTTTCACTATAAGAAATACTAGATAAGTCTAGTTTCTGTTTCTAAAATGACTTTTCCCTTAGAAGTACATACCTTGAAAGGATTCATTGAGCAGCCTATTTGAAGATATATTTGCAATTTTTCCTAGTAAGAAAGTATTTTTTATTTTGCTAAATAAATGGCATTATTTAGAGCTTCCTGTAAGGTAATCTTAAAGTGAATACTTTGCAAACCATTGTTCCTTCAATGATGAGACAAATTTTTATGAAATACTTAGTATTAGAGAACTGAAAGATGACACTGTGAACTTATTTTTCAAGATATACCACTAGAGTTGTTTCTATCACTATCCACTATTTTTCTTTTGAAGAACATCACTTTCATGTTACCATACTCTTTTCCCCTTAATCTTCTCTTTTATATGACAGTTTTATCTCATGAAGTGATTTCGTCCTTCAGTTAATAAATTGTCTATGTTTCCATATTTTTGTTGAATATGTGACGAGTGCTGCTACTCTTGCATAATGCCTGGCTTGTTGAAGGTATTCAATAAGTGTTTTCTTTAAGTGAAAAACAGTAAAGAAACATTCTGTAATGTTTAGCATCATATGGATAATTTCAACAATGCATTCATGCCAAGTGAATTGAGTTATTCTTCATACAGTGTGGTTCCTAACTGCCAAACAACCACTTAATTTTTTATGTTTTCCCATGGTCTAAATGTCCTTATGGGAAAGGGTCAAGGAATTTTACAGATAGGTTTCAAATTCATCAGTTTCACATTGAAATTGTCTGGTGTCATGGTGATAGAAAATACACCCTAAATGAATGCATTGTATCTATCTATGTATTCTTTTTTTAAATTATTTTATTGTTGTTCAATTACAGTTGTCTGCATTTTCCCCCACCATTCCCCTCCACCCCAGCCAAGCAGTCTGTATTCTGATGGTCACAAATTCATAATATTTTGATTAGTAAAAATGACAATTTACAAAAAATATATAAATAATGTAATTATATCTACTTGTCTTACAAAATGTTAAACAGAATGGTGAGATGATGATCTTTTTCCATTCATTGACATTTTTGTAGTTTAGATTTTGACTCCACTTAAATGTTTATTTTTAGGTGATTTTAGATTTACAGGAGGGTTACAAAAAATACTAAGAATCCCTATGTACTACTCACCTAAATACCCTAATATTAACATCTTACATTGACATAATACCATTATCTATTTTTTTTACTATTTTTTACTTTTTATTGTTCAAGTGTAGTTGTCTCTATTTTCCCACCACCACTCACCCCTACCTTCTACCCTAACCCTACCCCACTTTGGCTTTGTCCATGGGTCCTTTATACATTTTCCTTAAGAACCCTTCCCCTTCTCCACCCCACCCCACCATCCTCCTCTCTTCCTTCTAGTTACTGTCAGTTTGTTCTTTATTTCAATGCCTCCAGTTATATTTTGCTTGCTTGTTTGTTTTGTTCACTAGGTTCCACTTATAGGTGAGGTCATAGGATATTTACCTTTCACTGCCTGGCTTATTTCACTTAGCATGATGCTCTCCACATCCATCCATGCTGTCATGAAGAGTAGGAGCTCCTGCTTTCTTTCTGCTACACAGTATTCCATTGTGTAAATGCACCACAATTTTTTTTTTATCCACTCATTTGCTGATGGGCACTTAGATTGTTTCCAACACTTGGCTATTGTAAATTGTGCTGCTATGAACATTGGGGTGCATAGATTATTTTGAATTGGTGTTTCAGGATTCTTAGGGTATAATCCCAGAGGTGGAATTACAGGGTCAAAAGTCAGTTCCATTTTCAGTTTTCTGAGGAAATTCCATACTATTTTCTACAGTGGCTGCACCAGTCTGCATTCCCATCAACAGTGCACTAAGGTTCCCTTTTCTCTGCATCCTTGCCGGCACTTGTTTGTTGATTTGTTTATGATGTCCATTCTGACTGGTGTGAGACGGTTTCTCATTGTGGTTTTAATTTGCATTTCTCTGATAGCTAGTCATGCTGAGCATTCTTTCATATGTCTCTGGACCCTCCCACTGTATGTCCTTGGAGAAGTGTCTGTTCAGGTCCTTTGCCCATTTTTTAACTGGATTGTTTGTCTTACTGGAGTGGAGTTGTGTGAGTTCTTTATATATTTTGGAGTTTAACCTCCTGTCCAAGGTATCATTGGCAAATATATGTTCCCATGTGGTTGGTTCCTTTTTCATTTTGCTGATGTTTTCCTTAGCTGTGCAGAAGCTTATCTGTAGTCCAGCGAAAAGAACAGTCTATTCCAATCCTGGAGGTAAAATCAGCTCTATTGGTATTTGCTTTGTGAGCAATTTAAGAGATTTTCAAGAGTAAACCTGACATAAAAAACTTTTACCTTACCAATTGACTCCAGTACATAAACCCTGTGAGAATCTTTTAACTATACATTCTTAATTTTCAATTTCCAAATTAAGATTATAAAGAGCAAATAAATTGAGTTATTTGTGGGGTTGTATTTATCATTAATTGAAATTATGTCAGTTATTTAGATGACTGTTGATTTGAAACTCTGGTTAGAAAATTGAAGTTTCCTGGCTTTAAATATTCTAATACAATATTGTCAGTATACAAGTGACTAACTTATTTTGTGAAACTCCAAAAGGCAAAGAGAGATGAAGTTTAGTTTAGCTTAGAGACGTTTCTAATTGTCATTTTAAACATGCTATGGATTATCTCATGAGGTAGAACACTCAGCCTTTGGAAATAATTGATTAGAGATAACCATAACATAATGTGAGCACTTGAAAAGTTAAAATAGATCATTGAAAAGAGGCAAAAATGTCTTGGTAAGGTGTCATCTTCTGTTACCTGGCCAACACCCCAAAAAGGGTCCAGTTCACCAAATGTTCAGTGGTATTGCTTAGCCAGAGGACTTTCAAAATTTATTTTCACTTGACTGCAGCCTTCTTATAGACACAAACTTAATTCTTTGAGGCCTTCCTTGATAACTGACTTAGCCATTCCTACCTATAGATTTGTCTGAACAATAAATTAATTAAAACAAATATTTCTGTTTGAAATCTTTCCCTGGTGAACAAGCGTCATTTGTAATGTCATCAAACAGGCAACTGGTATACAATACAGAATTTTGTGTAACTGAATCAATTTTGACATTAATATGGATAAAGCTAATACTTAGCACACTATCTCCTAAAGCAGAGGTGGGCCACTTACAGCCCAAGATGGCTGTGAATGTGGCCCAACACAAAATTATAAATTACTTAAAACATTATGAATTTACTTTTTTTCCTGATTACATGTCGCAATGTATTTAATGTGTGGCCCAGGACAACTCTTCTTCCAGTGTGGCCCAGAGACACCAAAAGTTTGGATACCTCTGTAAGGACTTGCTAAAGCCAATCCCTTTGAAAATTCCATACCATTTATGATTGTCCCCCATAATTTCATTTAATTACATGTTTCCTATGATATAAGAACTGGGGATGAATTTTTTTAATGTGAACTAACCACCAAAAGAAGAACAAGAAGAAAAAAGCCGAGCACAAAATTATGTTCTTGTTGGCATCCAAATAGACGTGATTAAAAATGCCAAGAAATAGAATAAGAACTTCATCTGTATTTTTTTATGTTCCTACCATATTGTGAAGAAGTAAAAACCTGCTGACAATTACCCATACCCCCCAGAAATTCTTTCTATATTTAACAATATTTACAAAAAGCATTTTTTATTCCTGATAATATAAATGTTACTAAGCCTTGCCGTTCAGCATTATGTATTTTCTCT